TTTAAAAACATGCAAACATTGACAATATGTTGATAAGGAGAGAGACGTATGCTGGAGCTATGAAGAAAAGCTAGGGAATGGTAAACATAAAATCCAGGATAAACATTACCTCTGGGGTTGTGGATGCGAACAGAAGCGAATGATAATGGAAGGTCACATGGAAGGCTGAACTACTACTCTTAATTGGGCATTTCTCTGAGTAGGTGGTAGGTATACTCATGTTAATTTTATTAATAGCTGTCATATCCTTTATGCTTTTCACCATATTGTACAGTGTGTGAGTATATGAATTCTGACACTAAATCCCACCTCTGGTCACAGAAACTTATCAATATCATAGAGCAGGGATTCTCACTTCCCAGATAGGATCAACACATTTTTCAGTGTCAACACATTAATGTAACATATTTCACATGTCCATAATACCTACAGTTTGATAAAAGGGGGGCAGCAGAGCGGGCATATGCAAGGATCAACCCAATAGTGTTTTCTGATTTGCATACAGTAAGCCACAGCAAGGGTAGAGACAGCAGTGTCCAGGAAAAACCAACCACAGAAAAGGAATTCCTCTCTACCAAAGGGGTGGACCCCACTATCATATGCTTATGGTGCTTGGTCCCAATGCAGAGGTGCATGCTCTTTTGCACTTTTCACTGGAAGGATGACTTTCTGGCTGGAGCCCCTGGAATTTGCTCCTGGGTCCCAGTCTACAGCCGTGGAAAAGAGAGAGCATCCCAACTTACAAAGCACCAACCAGAGGATAAGGTGCTTTTACCCCAACCCAAATTATATGTGAGAATGACATGCAAATCAACAACAAAAAATTCTTCTATATAGATTACTTTATGTTGATATAATCCTGTTAAGTATGGCATTAAGGTGAACAATTGTTATATATTGGGGGTGCCAAAAAGTTGTATACAAGTGGACACTTTAGTCAACATTGCTCAAGTAGTATTTCACCATCATCAGAAATGTCTAGACGCTGATGGTAACCACTCTGAGCACCTCTTGTAACTGCAGAAGTCAGACGTGACTTGTAGTCATCTTTTGTTATCATCAGTGTATATTATTACAATTTTAATGCAGTTTTCCTTTCTTAAAATGTGTATACATTTTTTTGGCACCCTCTGTATATGTAATTTGCATATTCTACCTCTGGTCAGTTTCCACTTACTCCACCACAGCCAGCAGAGAAAATGTAATGTTCACACATACTCTTAGACAAGCTCAGCTTTTATGCATAGTCCATAATAAATAAGTGGAAAAATTAAAATAGGGAAAATACAATGGTTACAATGTAGACATCACAATTATATATCTACGAAATGAAGGTATGAATATAAAGATATGTTTAGTGTTTTTCAAATGGCACTTGTAACAGAATAAAATTTTGAGTAATAGCATCATACTTCAATTCAAAAAGTTCTATATATCAGTAAAACTCAGAAGTAAAACAATATGCTTTGAAAAAACTCACAACGTGGCTCTAGAAATGATGAAGACATTGAAGTTGAAGCAGATGTTTGAATAATTTTTTTCTGGAAATATGAACATAAAAAAGTATCTCCAAATTAATATATTAATTGTATAATTTTGATTGTTCATGTTTGTGCAACTCAATTAATACATTAAAAACTAGAAGGTCTGTCTGGCCTACATATCTTAACTACATATGCTTCAATTATGTGAAAGCTTTTAATATCTTTTCATTGGGAAAATGGTGCATCACATATAATAACAGAATCAAAGGAAACATCTCTATGTATATATATTTCATTAACACTAGAAAATCATAGGTGATCACAAAGCAGAAACCAATATTGTTCTATTAATTTTCACATGACTTTATTTAATCCTTGCATCAACTCTTGAGTTTTACAGATGGGAAAATGAGGACTTAAAATGAAGAAACTTGCCTAGGACCTCACAAATGGTCAGTTATCTACTGAGCTAGGGATTTGCATTGCGTTTTTTCTAATTCCTAAGCTCATATAGTATATAAAAATGTTGTAAATAAAACGTTTTAATAAAAATCTCCTCTTTCAAATTAAGCAAGGAAATGGGGAAAAGGTACAAACAAGGCTTGTGAACCCTCCCTGCCCCCCACCAGTGCAGTCTGTTGATTACACAGAAAACCATATGCCTCTTACAGTGATAGAATTCTGCCAAGTTTTTATGTGTGTACACAGCATGTACCTCTCTGCTTGTGTTTAACAGTGGGATATTTTAGATAGTTTTATAGATAATGGTGGGTAAAAGATAAAGTAATAACTGAGTGTGTGTATATTTCAGTGTATTTTGGTAACTCTAGGGAGAAATAACCCCAAGTTCATTGGTGCACACACGCCAACTGCAAGTGTGCTGTGTTCTAGTTAGCATTTAATTAGTTGGGGCACTCAGGTTAGTGTCTGAAAATGAAGAGTAAAAACCTATTTTGTTTGTGTGCAGTTAACTTTAATTAACTGCTTCTTTATATGCATTTGTCTTTTCATGGGTATCTTATGAAAGCAATTTCATCCTTTCTTGGTTGTATTATGTATTCTTATACATATAAATAAATCCCCCTTTTAAGTTTTGTGATATATCACATTAAGGAATCAAATTAAAATGGATCAATATAGGTAAAATAGCCATATTTTAAAAGTCCAGGAACTTTAAACGTATCTACAACAAAATTAATCTTTTGGAACAAGGCACAGAGATAAATGAAAACATAATTAAAACAGTAAATACCAATAAAATTGGGCAGTGATCTTTCATTGCAGTACGACAGGGTTTAGACCATTATTTGCATTATGCAATGGACAAGGTAGGAAGTGTCTTATGCGTCGCTCATAGAAGGTGCCAGATTTTAATGCAGGGATTCAAGATTGCATATTGCTCACTTACAAAATGAGAAATTGAGTGATGGAAGCTGAACTGACTTCCAAAAAGAGAAACGGCGAGAGCGCATCATGGATGTCACATGTGCATGAATGTTTGTCTCCTTAAATCATTAAGAACAGTGTACATATCGCAAGTTTGTAGAGAGGGAGACCAATGGAAGAACACCACACATCTAGGACATTTGAAAACCTGACATACTTGCGTGAAATTCAACATCAGTGTTAATACACTAAAAAAAAAAGAAAGAAAGAAAAAAAATTACATTTCTTCTCAAGAGAGTCAGAGCAATACAGGAATAGTTTAAAGAAAATAGAAAGCAATTGCAATGTACTATGAAGATGTGCTCAGATTATAATTTATCCTTTTTCCCAAGTTTTAAATGCACTGAATTTCAGAGATGATCGAGTGGTTCACACAATAATTAACACAGTTGTTACAGGAATGATTGTCCCGTGCACCTTACTTCCTGTGTTCAGCTGTAGATCCCCAGTTCCGCTTTCCATCCTTCTGTCCACCCTTCTTTCCTTTCCTCCCCTCTTTCCCACCTCCCCTCCCTCTCTCCTTCCTTCCCTTCCTTCTGGTATCCTTTACATGTTTGGGAAGAGAACAACAGATCTTTTTTTTTTCCTAAAATGAATTCTAATTGAGTATTTGTCACAGATTTGACAAAAGTATTCAATTCCACTTGGTGGCAGCCCTTTGTGCTGGGACGACCATGACACGCAGCATAGAACCTGTCCCTTCGCAGTCCCCGCTAGACAGCTGGCTCCTTGGAGGTAGGGGGCTCCTGTGTGTTCTGCTCACCATCGCATTCCCAGTACTCATAGCTGTGCCTGGTAATGCGCATGTGGAAGGGACGGAGAGGAGGCAGTGCCAGTGGCCAGCTGGAGCCCGGGTGAAGTAGGGGTTTCCGTCTTCCTGTCATCATTAGCAATGACCAGCAGGCACACCACTCAGACCACGTGCTCTTCAGGGCACCCCTTGATATTCAATTACAGACCAAATGTCTTTGTTAGAAATGTGCTGGGGTAGTTTAGTGAGTGGGGATGGGGAGATAGCAAGGGTCAGTGATTGTGTTCTATTTGCATTTCTCTTTAGGAAATTGATAGGACGTGCTATGACAACTATAGGGCCAACACCTAATTAAGAAAAAAATAAGCGATCTCTTCCTAAATTTACCAAAAACTCCCTCTAACTTGGTAAACTTCTTCCTTTTCTCATAACCACCGCTTCAAAAATAAGTAAATAAACCATGTCTACTATAGAACAGATAATGCTTTCCAGTGCCTTTTGTCCAGTGGTAATCACAAGCTACCACACCCCTCCTTAGTCTTCTTGATCAATTCCTACTAATTTTGCAATCTCTAGAGAGATCGCCAATTCCACAGGGAAAGGTCTTAGTCAACCAATTTTTGTGTTCTTCCTTCATGCTAATCAACACCTCAACATACCCCAAAAGTACGGGGAGTACGTGAATTGGTGGATGAATTGTAAGTCTGCTCAAAATTCTTTCACAAAAGCACATTTCCTGTAGAGATAATAAGGGTTTCAAATTGATCTGTAAAATAACTACCATACAGAGTTCTTGTGAGGATTGTAATGAGATACACAAAAACTTGTGTTTCGTGTGTAGCATATATTGAGACTAATTTGTGATAGCTCTTTCTTAAAAAAAAAAATTCTTCACTGCGCCAATCTCATGCATCACCTACTTGGAATATCTCAAGCAACCTGCATGAACCTTCTTTTTAGGGATATCAGGGTTGAATGGAGACCTTCCCTCCCAGTGGCAGGGGGGGCAGGCACAGAGCACAGCACATAGTGCGGGATGCTCTTGCCATTTAGTAAGAGGGGATGATGTATGTAGAAGAATGAAATGGACCAAGTGCATGTCAGCAACAGGACTAGAAATTCAAATAGGAAGGCAGAGGCAAACCTTACCCAGCCCTAGAGGTGGAAGTTTAGTGGCTGAAATTGGGGGACTGCATGTTAATATTCATTTTGCCCCACATTCCCCATCTTCTGCCTTCTGGGCTCCACACAAAATCCTAACGCAGTCACCCAAAGACCTAAAAAAGAGGGCTATTACAAATTCTCCAACTATAGCCAAGTTGCTTTTAGATTTTTATTGATTTATGAATAGAGGAGTCTTGTTATACATATAGTTCCAATAAACTAGTTTATGATTGTCGGTAGATGGTTTCTTTGTGGCATAACTGGAAAGGGTTAAAAAAAACAAAAACCTCCATTGTTTGGAAGCCTTAGGTGAACCTATCTTTAGAAACAGCATCAATTAAACATGTTGCTGGGACTAAATACATCATAAGCTCATACAAATTATAGCTCAAGTATTTACAAGTTAGAGAACGTTAGAATTTATTGAAGCTCCTATCTTTTGTGCAAAAAAAATTACTCATTTAGTTCTTAAAATATTATTTGGATTTTTCTTCCAACATGAAGGGAAATACTAGTCAAGTACTGAAAAAAAATGGCCTTAGCAGCTATTTTTAGAGTAAACATACTTTGGTCATTAAAATAAGCAGTAAATAGCTCACAGGTTAAATTCCTGGATCTATCTTCGACTATTAAGCCCCCTTTCCTCTAGAAGTGGTGTTAAAACATACTGCCTTCTATTAAGTTTTCCCTAAGATAATCAGTGAATATTCTTCTAATTATCAGTTAGTCAAGCCAATCAAACATGGCAATTTAAAAACTGTTGTTCATATCTACTCAGATGTGATATACTTTATGCATCAAGAATGTCTAGGATCTATTTTGATGCATCAAAACCTCCGCTGATAAGGGGTGCCAATCAAAACTAAGTGGCAGAGAGGAGGGGTGATATTTCAAAACATACTCGTGTGTGGACAGGTTCTTTTTTTATATATATATTTGCTGAGGGTGGATCGTCTGCCATGCCTTGAGGATTTGACATAATTATCCCATTCTTGCCAGACATTTACTAATGCTTCTCTTTCAAAACAGCCAGCTAATCAAATGTCTAATGCATGGGCTCCAGGATTAACGTGTGTGTATTCTTGTGTCATCTCCTTAAAACATGTTCCTCTCCATGTTTCTATAAATTAAAGCATATTTATAGATTGATCTTCCTTCTCCTGAACAGATTCTCCCATTTCCTATCTTTCCTGAAATTTCCATTACAGTAAATCCAACTCTGGATATGGCCTATTTCATCCTGAGTGAGTAACCCGCATTATTTCACCTTTGAAAACCAGGTTACTACCACTCTAGTTACTTGTGTTACTTTTGTCCACAAACTGAACACATTCTTTCAAAGTCTCAAGATTTAAATGCCCTTATTTTAATAGAAGCTTTTATCCCAATGGGGCCTAAGTTTGGGGAAGTTAATGAAGAAATGGATTGATTTTACAGACAGGACGTTTTATAAGCGTTTCCTTTAAAAGTGTCACATCCTGATCATCGTTGCTTTACTTTCAAGATCAGTGGAGTTTCTTCAAATTTTTCATAGGATAATACCCTAAGAGTATAGTACCTGGATGTTACAGGAGGGCCAGTCACCTTAGATGTTGAGGGGACAGTGGGGGGGACCCAAGTATGACATATGCATGCATGTGTGGTGGCTATGCCATCTCTCACCCACGGAGACCATCTCTCACAGAGGAATCTGTGAATAGGTCTTCTCCTCTGGCAAACTTTCCCTTGGGATGGCAGTGGGGGAGTAGAGATGGAGGAAATTCGATATTGCCATGTGGGGGGTGCAAGTTAGGATACCCTGTGCAGGTCACTTCGTTAAGCGTGTCCCCTTCTTTAGCTATCAATAATAACATGTTCCCATATTCATTCACAGAACTTCTTTGTCATTTTCCCTACCTCTCCCCCAATTCCTCCACATACTCAACCTGGCTCTTATCGGCCTGTGGGCATGTTTCTGTACAATTTTAAAAGAGAAGCAGTGGTATAGCTCCTGCTTTCTTCTTGGTTACCTGCACACATGGCTAATTCTTACCTTGGTCAGACCTAATACTCTGCCACCCCAAAGCCTTTTTATTGGATCTCATTCAAGATCACACATCCTGGGAATTGAAAGCAAACACGGAGCCTCTGACCAATAATGGAAATAGTGTTATCACCCACGGAGCAATTGTACACGCTTGTTGATAACCCTGAGATAGGAAGAACCATCTTCCTTGAAAATTAACAGTGTAGATTCAGGTGTTCAGTTGCCCTCTCAACCTATATTAATATGATTAGCATTCATTTTGACACTGTAGAGAGAAAGCAGTGAGAGCTCTGTGAAGAAGCAGATATTGGGGAGGAGGAACTGTCTGTATTCACATCAGAATGGGGGGGAAAATGACAGCCAAGTTAGGTTTAACTGGAATGTAACATATCCACAGCTTTATCACTCTACAGGCACGTTTTTGACACGATAACAAACTACTGAGAAAGAACCACTTTTATCTAGGTCAGAATGACAGACTCCCAAGTGTTAGAGAGCTTGGGGGAACGACAGTTTGAAACATCAGGAGGACTGCAATCTGTACAGAGATTTTCATCAAGTCTCGACACTGCCTAATGGTTTTCATCCAATACACTGTAATTACTCCACTGGCTTCTAATGGGGTAGCATTTTGATTTCAGAGCCGACCAAAAGAAAATGAGCCACATTTTATGACGACTACATGTATAATAAGATGCAGATGGCAAAGGAAACAGATGCCTCTGACATCATCTCCCATTTGCGTTCAACTTTTGCAGACACTGGCAGTCTGTGGCAGTCTCATTCAAAGGGAGGCAAGATAAGTCAGGCAGTTTTCCAATTCCGATTCCAGTCTAAAAAAACACTGGCAGAAGGGGCAGCGCTTCCTTTGAGTCATACAGTGATAGTTCCACAAAAAGAAATTGGATTCTGAGTCTGTGCCAGGCTTTCATGCAAACTGCATCATCGGAGGGGGAAAAAATCCCCACAAATATTGGGAGTTCAGCAATTACTAACTACGGATTGTTTTGCGTGGCAGTGAAAGAAAGGAGAGTGGGAGTGGTGTGAGGGTGAGCAGCTGTAGGTTCGAGGCAAAAAAGAGCAGGGAGAGTTTTAAACAGACAAGCAGGTTGAAAATGTCTCCACCAGCCCTCGGGACACAGATTATTTAAAGACTATTTTCTTATTCCTTCAAAGCGGAAAACGTTAAGGAGGGTTTTCAGGTCACTTGCAAGAAAAAAAAAAATCCCGTCTGTATTCTCAAGTGTATTTTCCAGAAGGAATCCTATAGTTCTGAGTTCTGATAGGAGCTTTCACTATTTCCCCAGTGATATCACTGAACACTATACACGGTGAAGGGTTTTTTTGTTTGTTTTTTGTGGGGTTTTTTTGGTGCAGGGTAAACGTATTAGAACTTTTTGAAAAGGAACTTTTGTAGTCCATCTTGAAAGCAAGAGGTGCTTGGGCGAAGCAACAATGGCAAGGACTTTAGCAGTGTTTGAGGTTCCAAGAGAGATCAGCAAAGTTGCAGATGAAAGCTGGAGTGAGACAAACACCTTTCAAACCTCCCTAGTTCCCCTGACCACAATATAACTTCATCTACACCTCTGTAGAGGGAACATATTAGCAGAAAAAAAAATTCAGAAACAAAGGTAAGGAAAAGTGGTGCCATAAAAATTAATCCTGCTAGGCCAACTATGGTGCCTATTTTTAAAATAATCTCTCTGAGCAAGTAACACACACACACACACACACACACACGCACACACACACGCACACAGAGTACGAGAATAAACACACTCTTCTAATTCATGGCCACCAACTGGGTTGGGAAGCATTTAGTGCAAATCTCTGCTGACCTGCAGCATTTAGTCTCTAAACTTTGGATATCCTAGACGGTCCATCAGTGTCCAGCAGATGTTTTCAATCAGGTGAATTTCATCTCTAGGCAAGTTCTGTTTCCAAACATTAGTATTACTTGGTGATATCTCCCCTTCGTAGGGAAGATAGAAAAGGTTCGTGGAGGTGGCAAACAATATTTGGTTTAAACTAGCCGGAGACAAAGGAATTCCAAGAAAGGCAAAAATCCTTTCAGTGGTTTTCTGAGGAAAATGCACAATGTCTTCAAACTTGATCAGGTGGTAGCTGGTAGGCAGCAACTCCGCATTTACTCTCAGGGCTGCTGCTGTGTTTGCCAGCCACAAATGAGACAACAGCGAGACCGCGTCTGACTTGGATTTGGATAATTCTTTCCTTAACGATTCATATTCTGGAGCGTAGCCCGCATTCAAGCTACATCTGCCTTTCCCTCCGTCTACTTTGAACAGTTTGGCTAAGTGCCCTGGTACATTCTTCAGAGAGTACAGGCTTGGTTTACTGCTGTACAGCATTGAATAAATCCATGCCCGAGGGTCCCTGACGATGTACATTGCCCTCAGCGAGGCTCCCAAGACTTCCTGAAAAAAATGAAGCTTTAAGGTCCAGCTCCCGCTGCTTAAGCTGAGCACAGGCCGGGCGCTCGGGTAGTAAACCAGGTGTCTCCTCAAAGCCCTGATATATTCAGCATCTCTATCAAAGGCGCCTTTCATTCTACTTCTTTTTTCTGGCAAAGACTCTCTCCTTTTCAGTTTCCTTTTTTTGTCCTTATTCACTGTAAAATATTGGGCCAGTTTGCCCCGACTGGGTTCATGCAGATGGATGTTCTGCAAATGCAGTTTAGTGTCATGGACTAAGGACTGTAACCAGCCTCGCAGCAAACGGAAGTGCACACTGCGGATATCCGGTGCCTTCCATTCGCAAGCGTCTACAAACGAGTCGATCTCAAGTTCAGTTTCAGGGAGATCCATGTAGGCTGTGGGAACCCTGATGTAGAGGAAATCGCTACTGTTGAAAAAAAGTTGTTTGAGAATTTCAGCTCCTGAACCAGGAAGTGAGGTAATGACAACATTGGGGAGGTCGATGCGGTGCCCTTGGGGAGATGAAGACTCGGTGCTGGGCTCGGCCTCCGTCCTTGCCCATTTTGCACAGATGGGCTGAGTACAAGTGCTCCATACATCCAGCAGCTCAATAAACCACAAGGCAATAACAAGAATGAGGATCCATCGCATCAGCTTTCTAAAAGACAGGTAAAACCGCCACTGAAAAGTTAAAATCACCAAGCTAATGCACAAAATCAAGCCAATCGCTATATTAAATTTAAATCCGAAGGGAAAAATGACTCTGTCATGTCTTACGGGCTGTGCTATTGCTTGAGTGCCCAAACCAAATTGGGTTATTTGGCCCTGACCAGCCACATGGGCAAAGCCACCAAATCCCAGGTAGTTGAACCTTGTGTTCAGGTTGTGATAGTCAGTGACGATGGAAACCACGTGTTCAGTATTATTGACATTGAGCGAAATCTGAAGTCCAGAGTTGGAATTGTCGGTAAATCTGCAGCTGGAAACATTGACATAGGGCCCATAAAAGACATACGCGATTCTTGTGAGCGTGGACTCCATCTGAAAGGTAACGTTCACAAATTGAGTCCACCGCTTTTTAAATTCAGCGGCTTGCTCTGCTTCCTGTATGCTAGCCGCGGGGCTGCTGCCACGATGATCAAACCAAAACATTTTGTAGTGTGCATCCCACACGTCCATCATGGCGCCATTATACCTGTTCATAAACCTGTAGGGGATGTACTTAAAGTCAATATCCAGATTATGAAAGAAGGCACTGACAGACTTTATTGGGGAATCGTCTTGCCTCTCAATGTGATCAACCACCAGCAAAGTCTGAGAGTTTAAGAGAAGCAGCGCGCGGTACACGCTCTTCAGCTTCATGGCTGAAGAGTAAGCGGAGACGGCCTCCCCGCTCACAAATATCATGTCCCCGTGTTGAGAGGCAGTGATGATTTCCCCTGCGGCGTCCCCAACCTCCTCACTGGTCCACTTGAGCCACTGTGCACACTCTCCCAGCTGACCTTCCCAGGGCTTATTACACTGGCTTGTGGGCGATGGGGCGAACACCAGCACGTTGTTCAGGTGGCTCAGCTTGGGTCCATAGAGAGCTTCGGACACAAACACTTGTCCGTTGGGGGCAAAAGTAAATGAGTTCTGGTCTGGATGCTCGTGTCCTGGGTTAAAGCTTCTCCACCCATCAATCCAGGAGTACGGCTGGAAGTGGACGATGTCATACACGGCTCGGCCCCCCAGCTTCCCAGACTTGAAAGACACAAAGGTGTTGGTCTGTGTGTTTGGCAACCCAGCCCCGTAGGTGACAACACCCCAGTTGGGGAACGTGTGCATTTTTGCAATACCGTACTCAGAAGGCGGCTGTGGAGTGAGCTGGGGATCGTACCAGATGAATTCAGTGTGCAGAGTACTCCACCTCTGGGCCGTGGAGGGGACCATCGGGCCATCTTTAGGTCGGTGCCTTCTAATTTGCTGAGCCAACCAATTTCCCGCCCCGTTCTTTAAGATGAACTTATCCAAAAACACCAACTGGCTCTCTGGACCATAAAACCAATTATAATTGGAATCTGCTATGCCCACAGTTCTTTGGAAGCCTGGTAAAAGGGTAGCATAATAGAACCAAAAGTGCATTTTTAACCAGTTATTATCCAAGTTGTTGATGTTAAAATGGCGCTGGGCCAGAAAAACATACTGCGTGACTGATTTCGCGGTGTAGCTTCCATAGGCCACACCTTCATCCAAAGAGCCATCGACGATGTGGTTCAGCAGAAACATCGTCTTTTCCATCACATCCACTACGACCTGTTTCCATAAATTCACTTCAGCTCCTTTATCTGCCCCGGTCACCAAGGCCCCGGTGAATAACGCTATCATATTAGTAGCTTGGTGATTATGGAGAAGCTGTTTGCCCCATGAGCGGACCTTGGAATACTCATACATTTCCTCAGTAATCACCCAGATTTTTTCCAGGTATTTTTGTCTTCGATGATCGTCTAAGAAGTTATATAAAAAGTCAAAGGCAGTGGCAAAGCCTGTTAGGGAATGCCCTACTGGAACCTCATCCCCTGGAGCGTTCTCAACGAGCCAGTCTTTGTAGCCAACCATCCTGTCCATATATTCCAAGGCGAAGTCAAAGGCCACTTTGTCGTCTGGGCATAACAAACAGTACAGTGCTAACGGAGGCAGGTTGTTACCGTAGATTTCATTCCACTTGGCAGCAAAATCAGCATGCCTGGGTGGAGGTAGGTAGTACGTCGGGTTGGACAGCATCACTGTCACTGCACTTCTGATAGCTCTAAAAAGATGCAAATGGCTTGTGCGAGACTTTTGTCTCATTGCTGGGATTTCTCCGGCATCAAAATATAAACTTGGATGAAGCATACTTGTCTTCAGCTTTTGGCTGGGTCTGAAATCTTGCACCTTCTGCGTCTTAAACTGATCTAGATCATCTGTGAAAACTGCCCAGTCAGAGTAATTGCTTACAGATTCCTCAAAAGTCGAGAAAGCAAACATCACTAATGCTAAAAATAAGAAATGTCCTGTAAACATTAACGCCATGATCCATCGGGGAGTTCCTTTCCTTAGGCATTCATGTCAAACAGCGTGCTCAATGTGTTTCCCAGCTGCTTCGTATAAAACATACATTTAAGGCCTTGATAAAACAAAGACTATAAATCGCTTATGCTGTGAAATCCAGCTGACATTCGGCTCAGTCAAAGCAAGTACAGTTGCCAAAAAGAGAAAACTTACACTGTTTATCTGTGTCCCCGACACAGTTTTGCTTCCAATAAAACTTCAAGGAATGTTAAAAGCTCTAGCTTTTCCCTATCACACAGCAAACAGTGGTAGAGAGTCAAATATACTATGAATTCAGGATTTACTTCCTTTGCATAAATCTATCTACCATGAAGAGTCAAAACACACATTGTCCGAAGAAGAAAAAGCGCTCCAAAATCCAAATTAAGAAGTCATTCCCAGCACAGGAAACCATGACCTGCACCGTGATCACCATGCATGTACGATGCCCTTGTGTGTGTTTGCCCAGAGAAGGTGAGGAATACTAAAAGTCTTGGGATGGGCTCGGTTGTTATTGCTCTCAACTTTTTATACTTCTTGCTTTCAGAATTCTTTCTTCTTCCATTCTGGGAGAAAAACATCCTCAACAAGTGTTCACAGTCCTCCTTGGTTTTAAAACACTCAAAATCCCTGCCCTTATTCCGAATCTGTCTCTTTCAGGCCTTCTTACTCATCAGCCTATTAGGACCGAAAGAAAGCATTTCCACGTCTCTTCTTTTATCAGCTTCATCTGAACAACTAGAAAAATCGAATCTCTTCAGCCACCTAGGTACTTCTCTTCCAGTCACGAAGTAACCACCAACTGGGAGAGAAAACTCCCCTTTCACCAACAATGACGTCTCTTTTCTGTTCCTTTTTCACGACACTCCTTTCTGGTGGGAGGGAAAAAAAAAAAGAAAGAAATTCTCTGAGGCTACAGGTATGCTGGGAGTGGATATAAACCAATGATTTAAATGTTCTACTTGACGAAATTTCAGAATCACAATGAAATCTGTTAAGTATAATCTAAGTTAGCTCAAGTGATTTTTTTTCTTCATACTTTTAAATGTGCACACACTAGGATAACAGTGAACAGTGGCCGATGACAAGCAGCCACAAGCTCTAACTTTCCCGACATTATTTATTTTTAACTGTGGCTTGCTTTAGTCATTGAAAATGTTTTTATTCAAATACCCTTAACACAGAGATGAGTCCTGCTATCGTTCTTGTTCTTCTGGGTCACAAAAGGCTCAGGGACAAAAAGCAGAAGTTGAAAGGACCTTTTCTAATTCCTGTTGAGGGTTTAGCTTTCAGGGGATCTTTGCAGGGGGGCAGCTAAGACCAATCACTTCTGTCAAAGGAGAAATCACGACTGTGTGTGGGAGCAAAGAAAGGCCGTCCGGCTCTCCTCTGTCACCTGTAGCCACCCTCGCCATCCTGACGAGAAGCCACCAGAGGGAGCTCAGACCCAGACTGAAGGAGCCGCTTCGCCCCTGCCGGTCTGAGGATTGGAAGAACCTACCCAAGTTTCAGTCCTGGACAAGTCTCCTCTCTATGGGAAACAGTAACACTAGGAGTTTCCTGATCCGCCCCGCCTGTTGCATTTTTCCAATGCGCTTCCTACGAGCATGCCGCCCCCGGGCTCCACTCCCCACCCCCGAACTCGGGCTGTGGTCTGGGGACAAGAGACCCCTCAATGGCCAAGTGCACTTACCTTGGGCAGATCCGGACAGGGTCTCCTGGCAGCGGTGGGCCCCAATGATGCGGAGGTGGAGAGTTGGAGAAAACTGCTCTGCACAGGAGGCCGGGCCGGCGGGCCCCCCGCGGGGTGATCCGCGCCCCCAGCCCGGCGCCCCCCCAAGCTCCAACAGGCTGCGGCCCCGCGCTCGGCCCCCGCCCCGCGCCGCGCGGACACGCCCGCCCTCGGGGAGCGCCAGCCGTTCCCGGGCCACGGGAGGCAGATCCGCGCGCGGCAGGCGCTGTCAGGGACGCCGTGTCCAGCGGAGCGCCGGCGTCCCCAAGC